TTGTGCAAGTGTTCACTTTTTTATTATCATTGCGACAAACAGATTTCTTTACAGACATACACTTTGTTTTTAGACGTGGAATGCACTGCCCCAGCTATTCCCAATGCAGCTCCCTCACTGGTACCTGGAGGTTACAGAATTGGAAGCAATGTTACCTATACCTGCAACACTGGGTATCAACTCAGCGATGGTTCTGGTACCAGTTTTACACTGACTTGCAGTCCTAGAGGGACGTTTGAAGGGAAGAGGAAAACCTGCACTAGTACGTCTGATATCAAGAAGATATCAAAAATAGAAAAGAATTAATTTGGGATAATTGATAAGATTTGATACAAATGCGATGAAAACTTTTAAAGAAAAAATCTTTAAAACTGATTGAAAATTAATGCTCATACGACTCCGATGAATTTTCAGCCATTTTTCTTCATTTACCATAAACATTTTTGAATTATATTAATAATATCATATCGGTTGATATATATCTTGTGATATTTACTTTATTTTCAGAGGTTCATTATCATTTTAGCTCTTACATAAAGCTCTAAGAAATGACCAAAATATTGGTACAAGTGGTAGCTTGCGACTAAGTTGGAGCGTCTTAACTTTTGTGACATGTACAGTTTAAATGGGAATTGTCAGTTAATCAATTATTTGTGCAACCAAGTGCTCGACTTTTCATCGTCATTGTGACTAATGTTTTTCTTTACATGATGGTTTTTTAAGTTGTGGAATGCACTGTCCTGACTATTTCCAACGCAGCTCACTCTCCAGATACCAAAGTATACATATTTGGGAGCAATATTACCTATACCTGCAGCAGAGGGTATCAACTCAGCGATGGTTCTGGTAACAGTTTCACATTGACTTGCGGACCTAGGGGAACGTTTGAAGGGGAGAGGAAAGCATGCAACAGTTAGTCTGATACTAAAAAGACATCAATGTGAAAAAAGGACAGATTGTGAATCTTAGATGTAGTAATCAGTCTGCACTAGGTTCATCCTTAATACGATTATGCTTCCGTAATTATTTTGGGCATAATTATTGTTGGTGTTATTGGGCTTTGAATAAACTCTAATAAAATGAAGATATTAAAACATATCCCTATTCCAGGAATCTGTGTCCTCCCTGAAAAGGAAGTGAAGTTTGCTACATGTTCACCTAACGATTATACCCTCGTAATATTTATGTGTACAATTTCTGCTGTTTATTGGACTTTTTATAAAACTGAAAAGATAAATATATTGAAAAGATTTGCCTCACTTCCAGGAACCTGTGACCTTCCTGTAGGTGATCACCTGAGACAGGTAACACAGCGTTCCGTTACCTTTGAAGGACAAACTGCCACATATACATGTCACACTGGCTTCCGATTTAACGACACGTCAATAGTAAAGAACCTTACTTGCCAATCCGACGGTACATTTGATCAGAGCTTACATAGCTGTATTCCCATATCGTGTGGTTTTCCTACTGATAAAATCAACCTGAAGGCAGTAGAAGGGCCATATGAATACAAACAGAATGTGACATTTTCCTGCATTCCTGGATATCATTTTGCTGGCTATGACGTCGAATCACCATTTACGTCACAATGCATTGCGACTGAAACTCTGGAACCGCCAATACCTGACTGCATAAGAAGAACATGTAGTTTACCTCATTTCAACAATACAGTAGCACCTCCTGATAGTATGAATCTGCTCTTCATGGCTTCAGTTGAATTTAAATGTATAAAAGGATTTCAATTTCCGGATGGTAATGCGAGTGTAACCTTGACGTGTGATGAAACTGGTGGATTTGGGGTGGATTCTCTTAGTTGTACAGGTACGGATTTTGAAGGATGTTTGTAAAATAAGTACTACTTATAGCACCCTGAGAATCAGTGTGATGAGCGCTTTGTCCGCTTGTACATGTACAAAGCAGAGTGAATCTTGTCTGCTAAAATACATGTTACTGGGGAAACGGTATGTGATCTTGTACGGTATTTAAGGTAATTTTTTCAATATTGTTTGCTAGGTTTAACGTCACACAGCACATTTTTCATACTGGTTTTTGCCTGGAAAGGTATTCAAAAAACTGGTCGAAGAGTTGATTTATGCATCCTTTTCAAAAGTTTCAAAAGTGGTCGTGAATACATATGAGATATTATATACTACTGTAAAGGTCCCTATTTTCAGGCAAAATTAGGGCTAAATTTACTTATAAAGAAACTTTGATATCTAGTGGAGCATACAAAATAGTGAAAGCTGACCTAACTATTTCCATTTATCATCAGCGGTGTTGTCTGATGCTGGTACCAAAGCAGCGTCCACAGACCCTAACATTGGTGTCAGTGTCGGTGTAAGCGTTACTGGAGCAATAGTGCTGATATTAGTTGCTGTAATAATTGTTGTATTCGTCAAACGAAGACGGTAAGTGTCAACAAACTATGTTTTACGTTTTGTAAAAAATGAAGTATTTCACGTTACACAAATTTGCAGATAGCTTTTATCCTTTGGTATATCTACTCTTATGCATTTGATGTAATTTGCTCATAAATGGCGTTTCATTGCGATGAATTAAATTGTCGGTTTTAGGGTATTTGGGACAATGTTCACACATTTAGATATTTTTATTCTTGCTTTTATTGTTTGTTTGTTATTAACCGGCTTGCTAATGAGTAATACATGTACATTTCTCTCTTGGGGATTTTTCAGCATCTTTTTTTATTTACTTCATTTGTCTGCTAACGCTTTGGCTAGTAAACGGAACGTTTTTGATTTAGGAAACAGATGTCAAACTCTAACGCAGATATTGATGTTTCAAGAAACGGAAAGCTCAGCAAAACTTTGTGCACAACATCCAAAGCTTATGTTAACACAAATATCTTCGAACTACAGAAAGAATGTGCAATGACAGAACGGTATGATCAGTCAAATAATATGAAACAGAATTATAACAACGAAAACCAGGCCTCTGATGTACAGGACCTATATGCCGTGCCAGACAAATCCAGAAAGACCAATAAAGGCAAGAAGCAACAAAATGCCCCCGTAAACTATCCAGACGATGCATATGAATATGTCAGCAAACCTTCTGCCCAGGCATCCCCCGTTTCACGACAGGATTGCAGCAGCACCCATGGACTTGCAGGGCAGTTTCAAAATGGAGGCTATGCCCAATCTGTCGATGATGCTGATGACGTGGAGTTTGTTGAAAATGATATTTATGAAACAGGAGGCGTTGACAACATGGGCCATACATGTGTTGAGTCAGCTGAAAACGACATTTAGAACTCGTCGGTGTAATTTTATTTCAGAAAAGTTGCGGTCCTTTATGTTTTATATTTGAGAGCCTGTTTAGCTCCCCTGTTATGTAGAGATTTGCTCCGCCATACAAAATGTTCTTCAGAATGCCTCTAAGCATTTATGCACTGGTAAAATAGAGTTGAGAAGCACTTTTTGGTAAACTTGTGTAAACATATTTAGTTCTGTACCCAAAGTTTGACTTATAGATAGTCATAAAAGCTGAGCCGTGATGACTTTATTGAAACTTCCTTTACCCTAAAACATTTTGTAGGGTGATTGTACATGATCATAGATTTCCTTAAAGTTAAATATGTAAAAAAAAAAATCCTCATTCAGTGATTGCAATGCATATGTTTCTAATAAAATGAAAATATTTTTCAATATTTTAGTTTATGTTAATTGAATTGAATTTTGCTTTTTATGTACAGACACAGATGTGTCTGTACATATTGCCATCACCTGCGTCTGTCGTCGCCGATGCCGATGGCGATGGCGATGCCGATGCCGATGCCGTGCACTTTCCTTGTAAACACGATAAGTGGAGGGAAGTTTTACTTTTTGGCTTTATATTTACAGAGCTGGTGAATATTCATAAAACGCAGGTCAAGTTCGAAAATCAGCTTGATCGGGCCATTATTGTAGAAGTTATGCTGTTTTTTCACTTTTCAGCATATTTTTCNGGCCTACCCAACTACCAGACTCGGCACCTAAAGATCCTGAACTGACCGGTATATCGGACCACGCTACCCGTTTTCAAGGTGTGTGTCAGATCGCATTTCTGAGTATCATACCCCAGAACGAATTTTGTAGCACGACTGCGGGCTCATCCACGCTCGGCTGAACTACCTTAAACTGTACTCTTACTTTAGAGTACTCTATTTTATTGTCTCTATGGGGATATATGGGGACTTTACGACATTCGGTTTGAATGTTTTAACCACTTTTGATAGGGCTTTTTTGCATTGTATTAGATTAATGTGGCAGTCTAAGGTTCATCTAGGTGGCTTTCAAAATTATGCACCCGGTTTTAAAGCGATTTTACGACAATCGTTTACTATCCAATCAAGGTGGCAGCCAAGCATGCCAGGGCTCATCCTGTCGGTGTTCTGGCTGATACTCCGAAATGCGATCTGACACACACCTTGAAAACGGGTAGTGTGGTCCGATATACCGGTTAATTCAGGATCCTTAGGTGCCGAGTCTGGTAGTTGGGTAGGCCTGTCTATTGATATTTTTCCCATCTCATCAATTTTCTTAGTTGATCATATAAAAACGGCAGTAAACTGTTAATTTTGTTTTATGTTAAAAATTGTTAAAAATGGAAAAAAACATTTCAGAACAGTGCTGTCTTGTACTTACATTTGTATTACCCGTTGAGCATAATTAAAATTTGATGTTGAATTTGCAGTTTAACATAATGTACTTTTGCATCAGAATTGACAGTAGCCTATTTTGTGCATAGTTATTTCCTGTTTTTTGTCTGTACATTTGACAGCTTTGCTGCCTTGTTTAAAGAAATGCTTTTATCTATCTGAATACAGTATTTATGAGAAGATTTCCCAAATCAATTGTTTAGGTGTCTAAGCTTGTGTAAATGAATGGTTTTTGCTTAAACAAGTACAAGGACTCACCAGAACCATCAATCACACATAAAGGAGATGTAATTACTTCAGTTTACTTTCTTTTGTTTTGATTTCTTCATTTTCTTCAGGATTCTATGGAACTTGTAGATCACCCTCTTATGTACACCTGTTGTCCTTATCTGGGTAAGTAATCTTCAAATTTCTGTTCTGAAATATCCTTCATTTTCAAATGCAATTTGTGTCAGATTATTTCCTGTACCTCCTTAAGTAAGGGCATTTAGGGGAAATGAGAAGAATCGTCACTGTTAAAGAATTGACGCATTTTTTTTAGGTGAGTTGAGATCTTTGCTGATAGACTTTGCTGTAGGTGGCAGCACCAAACAGAACAACATTCGGAAGATCACACCAATAGCAGCAGAATGTGAGGATGAGGATACTGGAGTCAATGAAAAACAACTTCAAGTAAGGTTATCATAACCAACATGGCTACTATCAAAAAGCATGATGTCAAGAAATAAGTTGAAGTTTATCTGTCATTTGGGAACAAAATATTTTAAACAAGAGCTGATAATGTCATTTATGCCTGCCAAACCACCCCACACTGTCCTTTTGATATATTTACATAATTTTATGTGTGTATAAGCACGGGGGCTATGTTTTTATACTTCTGAAGATAGATATATAGACATGATTAGTCACATTTATTAGTAAACAGACCATATTACACACCACATATGTATCTGTCCATAAACACCAGCAAGGATTATGAAATATTTCCTACATTAGGTAAAGAAATTGACTATTAAGTTTTTACTGTTTGCAGCTGCAGCTGGAAGAAAACTTTTTCCACAACCACCCCGCCTCCCTGAAAAGGACAGTGGAGTTTGTTGCTGACAGAGTTGCCTCCATACACATCAAGAAATTTCGAAGCCAGGAGCTGCCCAGGTTTATCAGTATTGGCATTGGTGCTGTTGGTGAAATGCTTTCTGGCACTGGAAGTGGCTCTCCTGATAACAGGCTAAAAGTAAGATTATTTGTCTTACTTTATTACAATGATAAAAACTTCTCTTTTCAAGAAACCGATTTCATGGGAGTTTATGTGGATGAAATTTGAACACTTGAAAAATAATCTTGATTTATGTCCACTACTTTTTAAAACTGATTGTTATTATTATTTTATTAACAAACACCCGCCTGATATTTCAGACCAGACTAGAGCAGCAAGTCTTGGAGGTAGCGAGAAATCTGATGCAGACGGCCAGAAATGACATCGTTTCTTCTTTCACCGCATACTGCCAGCAGAAGACGGAAGCCATTTTACCAATGTTGCTTCCTGACGACACTGTGCCTCAAGTATTAGCAGTGTCCATGCAGATATCAGCAAGGTTGGCTCTGGAGAAGGTGACACATTGGTCACAGGCACATCTCACCACCAGTAAGTTGCTTGCATGAGATTTCAGACTTGAATGGAATTTAGACTTTAGGCAGAATTGAGTTTTTTTTTCTGCAGAGACGATTGTTATGAAACTTTGCATGTGCTGCTTGAAGTATTTTTTGTGCAAATAACCAGTTTTACAATTGAAGTAGGAGCCCTTTAGAAATAGTGTCTTTGTGTCTATCCTGTTTGACTACAGATTTGTAGAAAAGGTATTACAACCATTTGAGGGGAAAAAACTCAAAGAGAGCTTCTTGAGCATTTTTATTTAGACATATACTGTTATTCTTGATGTAATAATCAAATGTGTTGTTTTATGATTCTCTTTGCAATGTAAGAAGCCACTTGAAATCATCACATTGATTTGATTTAAAAACATCAAAATATATTTTATTATTTAAATAAGTTATAATTAAAATTGTTGATTGCTTGGTATAATTAACTTGTCTTATTGTTTAAAAAAAGTACTTCTTTAACTTTTGACAATGCATTGACTATTACAGACATGTTGAATAAAGAAATGACCTCTGAACTGGACAAACTGGTCAGGTCTATGGCCAGTGGCTTGGACAGCCCAGTTAGACCTGTGAAGGGTGAAAAGACAGTCCAAGTAGTTCATGGGAACCCTGCCATTGTAGTCCAAACCAAGGATGTATGTGCAGTGTCAGAAACAATAAATATGTTGAAGGTGGGTAAGGATTTTGTATTTCACAAACTATGAAAAGCAGTTTTTAACTTGTATATGTATCTGTATGTAGACTTTATTAAGATATATTTTTTCATTTTCTAAAAAGGTATGATCTTGTTATTTTAATTTTTGTTGTTGTTGCTGTTGTTGACAATGCTATTGCTACCTGCTTAAGCCTGTTGCACTTCAGTCCCTTTTGCACTATCTGTAGGACTTTGTGCGGGACCTAGTTCTTGAGAAAGATGGTGTATCCTATCAGAGGATGTTGAAGTTGTTGAGACAGACAAAGGACACGTTTTTCGGAACAGCTGTGAGTACTAGATTGGAATTACATTACAAAATAAGAATGAGTTTCTAGATGTAGAGACCAGACATTTTAATGCTAACCGGTTATGAAATGCTATTATATATGTGTCTCACTATTTATATATTTGTATCTAGATATTACTTGTTACTTTATTTATGTATTCTTTTTTATCAATAATTTATTTTTCTTTAACACTTCAACAGTATCAAAAACTTTTTTTGTGTTTTGATCTCTTATTTTACTTATGTATAATTATGTGGAAAGATTTTTTGTACAGTTAAAGATTTAAGTAAAACTTTTTATTACTTGATATCCATAGAACATATTCCCATTGGCATATAAGACAGTAGCTCTGCTCTGGTTGGACTTAGCTGTATCATGTGGTAAGTTGTCTTTTCTGTTTCTTATATTAGGTTATATTTTGTAATATAACAAACAAACAAATAGGATTTCTTGCTTTGAATACTGAACACTAGTTTGTTTAGATTGAAAACATACATGTTATCAGATGTTGTTGCTGTGTAAAGAGGTGAAAATGCTGTTAGGGTATGAGATTTTGAAACTTCAGGATCTTTATTTATCTTTTTATTCTCAAAGAATCAGTTTATTAGTTAAGCTTTTCGGGCTATTTTTTCTTTTAAGATGAGTGTAATTTCTGTTGAAAAGTTTCTCTAGTATATAAGGAGAAGCAGATGTGGTTTTTAATACTAGATCATGCAACTGAGATATTCAACTTGTCTTTTCTTTTTTTCATTTTTGCAGCAATATTCAAACCCCCCTACATAACTGAGGAAAGTTTAGGAGACTTGACTGCACTGTGGCAAGGTCCACTGAAGCAGCATACATCCTTTTGTCAAGTCATATGTGCCAAGTATGTTCATTTACTGATGGCCAAATCCAAGGTGCTTCAGGTAAAATTTCATCCATTTTTTATGAAGAATTATGGTGGAACTTTACATGTTTTTTTTTTTTAGTTTAAGAAGGTTATGATTAAGCACAAGTCATTTAGTTGTATCATTTAAGAGATATAACTGTTGTGTCTGCCTTGGTGGATTTCGTATGTGAGTATACGTGCATTTGTTGACCCCAGACTTTATATATTTGTTCTAGGAATCTTGGAACCAATATGCATTTCTACTCAGACATCTGTTAAATCAAGAACTTCTGACTTGGGCAGACGTAAAAGAGGCTGGGTTAAAGCTTCTTCAGCACAACCTTCCAAAGGTAGCCATGAATGCAACAAAGAGAAAATGATAAATTTTAACATTTATGTATAACAACCCATTTCTAGACATACCTTATGGCATTTTGATTTATGTCAAGATCCATATGGTACATTTTAAAGAGTAAAAGTTGTCACAAGCATCATATTTGCTTTTTTGAAAATTATTTATCAGTTTCAAATTGTCAGATATACTACAGGTGGTTCTTGAATAATAATTAATTTTGTCATTTCAGGACTGCCTTGAATTGTTTGCAGCTTGTATCTGTGATAGTTGTAAAGTATTTAGTGAAGACAAAACAATGGGAACAATAGATTGCCTGGAATTATTGAATAGTTTAGACCAGAAATGTGCAAACTGTTCTTCTGTAACAATCCAAGCAGTAAAAGATTGCATTTCAATTATCAATGAACAGCAGTTGCCACAGGATACCAAATGTTCGACTGAAAAAATGTCAGAGATAGCAGATATTGAAGCTACTACAGGTAATACTCTGCATGAAACTCTGCATCCACAAGATGAAAAACACCAACCCATAATTAAGGTAGATGAGCAGGAACAGAATAAAAATTCAATTAAAGTGGAGTGTGATTGTGTTCATACAGAGAAGTATTGCCAGAAATGCACTCTTTGTTTCAACAAAGAAAATCAAACAGATATTTCATCTTGCGATGAAAAGATACTCCCAAAAGTGGACAGTATGCAAGTCAAGATTGCAGGAATTTGATACTGGGGTTTTTTAAGTAAAGCCATGAAATGTATAATTGTTGTTTTGCTCATAACTTCAGTTGTTATGGAGAACATTGAAAAATGCAATATTGAATTAGCATGCTTTCTGATTATTTATTTTTCAAAGAATATTATTTCTGTCCATTATGGACATAAACGTACACTTATATTCAGCAAAAAATTTTCATTAAGCTGACCATTTCATTATTTGAACAGAATTTTGTTTTCGATGAATTGGAATTGAAAAGTGGTGCTTAATGTAATTTTGAAAATTATTTGCAATATATGCTTGTTTTAATCCCAGCATTCCATATGTTCAAAATGAAATGGTGCTATACTCACCTATTTATTTCCATTTATTGAAAAAATTATTCTAATACGCTTAACACCATATAATACAACCAATTTTGCTATGAATGTTGATGGGCTACTTTGTTGTACTACATTATATCTTATATAAGACTGGTGCCTGCTATGAAAGCTAAGAATAAAAAGAGTTTACAATATGAAGGATTTGTTTTTTTTTTTTTTCTGAAATGTGCTTGTTTATCTTGCAAACTTTCTCTTGTCGGCTGGACCTACTTCCCTGGAGTGTGTTAAGCATGTCTGATCCGAAAATTGGTACATAGTTTTTGCAGCTGAGACAGTACATATGCCTTATTTCATTGAATATAAATTTCTCGAAATTGTCTTTTGACGAAAAGATCTGGATATTTATGGTTACAGTCACAACCAATTAAAAGTGAGAAATGTTCCCTTCCACTCTCTATATACTGTATATTTGGATACACTATTTTAAAGGTGCAATAGTAAAAATGTCTTTAGCACTCATAAGAGTAGTATATATCTCTGTATTCCTCACATACTTTGCGTTTTTGAATTGCTCCCTTTTTTGCCTGTGCTGAAGAAAATTGTAAAAGGGGCAGATTTTTCTTTTGGTGCAGCACCTTGGTGGCATGGTCTGACTGGACCTATAACATCAAACATATAAACAAATGTAAGTATTACAACACACAGAAAATATGATAAGATTATGAAATGGACAATTGTATTTGTTAAGGGCACTTGTTAAATAAAAAAAAAAACTTCTTCAGAGCATTGATCAACTAATTTAAGAAATCCTGTTGAAATTAAAACAAATATGGATAGACCCTGTAGACCATGATATTAATATTTTCAAAGTAAAATAATTTACATTTCCAGCAAAACTATTCTCAAGCATCTGATGGAAATCCTTTGTCTCCACTTCAAAAATGTATCCCTCTTCTATTTGACTTGATGTTGTAGCGCCTCTTGCAAATAACCTCTGTACACTTTCCCTGAAGAAGAAAATTGGGCTTTGGTTAAAAGATGGTTCAGTCATCCTAAATAGTCCATTTTTTCCTTTTTGATAGCTTCTACTAGTGCACCAAATAGATACTTGAATAAAAACAATGCATGTTATATGCCTTATTTGGCTTAAACAAACATTTAAGAAAAAAAAAACAGATTATGTGGGTTGAAAAGATAAAGGTTGTTTCAAAGTATTGGATGATTTGTTTAGTTAATAAACTTGACATGGTCCATAGAGCCTGACTATTTGAAAGAGCAGGAAAAGTGTCTCAAATGGACCATGGTACCGCTTGGTTTGCTACTTACAGGTGCTCTCTGGCCTCTGCACATTGGCCTGCCTGGGCCATGGCGGCAGAACGCTGCACTGCAGCCACTCCTCGCACTGCTACATTGACATTCTGAAATGATGAATGTATAAGAGTGAGTTTATTATAAATGCTAAGCACTTTAGTTCTGAAATTAAATCTATATGTTTGTTCAGAGTAACACTAATAATATTTTTGTAGGGTTATGTTCAAAAGAACAGCTATAGAAATAATTACAAAATCCAAAAGTCATTCTTACAGGTAATTTTATTTTTTATCTGCTTTATTCTAAAAAGATGTTACCTTTTCCATTTCTTCTCGTTTACTGGTTACTTTATGCATCTTTCTCATGACTCTTAAACACTTCGTGCCATCAGGTTTGGTGTACTTGATTTGGACCTAGAATATTTTTACAATGAAAATATCAGGACTCCTGGCTTGCAAAGATATGGTAATATAATTATAAGAACATAAGCACTTTCTCTTATAGAACAAATTTTAAAACAAAGTAGATAGGAGTATAATTAAGGTGTCATATGAAAGTCATAAAACAGAGAAGTCCCAAAACAGACATGGTGAACTAAGACTTTTCAAAGAATGACTGCGAGTTGAAAAAACTGGATGTTTGTTAGCACCCTTCTGGTACTTACATGTAATCCCTAACTCAAGTAAAGTGAGCAGTTGGACTGAGTAAATTGATAAAGATCGTTAACCCTGATGTTTCACTGGATTCAATCTATCTATACTCCCTAGGTTTAATCTTTAAATGGTTTCAGTTTATCCGTTCCTCTTTTAGGCCTACATTTTGGCCACACACACACACACACACACACACACACACACACACACCTGGAATGGGAGCTGATCCATATTGAGAGGCTTGTTGTCATCTCTGGCCTTGAAGCTGTATGTCAAGTCCATTGCCTTAGTGACATTCCCTATGTCCTGCACCCACATGTTTTCATCCTTAAAAAATAAGATATCAATTAAATCTTTAACAGTACATAAAATGTGTTACACAAAAATATCTAGTTGATAATTTAAATGTATGCATTTTTTAAAATACATGTCATTAAATATTTACCTTGTCCTCAAACTTCAAAGATGGATGCAAAGCAAATGCCACTTCTACATCTGTTGCAACAACGGGATTCTGGTAGATTAATCTCAGTTGCCTTGACAACTCGTGTGGTTTTAGTATGTTGACAGTTCCTCCCGAGGCTGCAACACATTGGCTGACCCCATGCATCCCACTGCTCTCCCCCTCCGTCCCAATGATGGAAATGGTAGCACACATGTTTCTAGCTAATGACCCAATCTAAATGTTCAAAATTAAAAACTGTGACTTAAGTGTCAGTGTATATGATTGGTTGGATCAGTTGCTACTTCGTATCCTACCCACTTTTTAATTAACTTAGAAAGTAAAATGATTAAACTATATTCTTTAACTGAGGGTTCAACCATGGTATAAAACACAATAAAAGAGAATATACATTCTGGTTTTTCCCTTAAGAAGCTAGACATCCTGCCGTTAAAATGATTTCAAAAGGATGGTGTTAAAATAGATTATTCAAATCCTTGATAAGCCCTTACTGTGAAAAGATAATACCAGTGAAAGAAAAAATGCCAAGATATTTTTCAAAATGCCAAGATGTAATTCTGATTCCCAAATATCTTAAACAGAAATAAAACATATTTTACCTTGCCGTAAAATTCATCATCATAACCTTTGCAACCGACTCCAACATTAGGCTCTCCATCAGTACAAAGGATTATCTCAGATTTCCTGTCTTTGAACACCAGCCCAGTGGCCACTGCCAGAGCTGGTCCTAGGGCAGTGGCACCAGCTACCTTGAAATCCTGGATCATTGACTCTGCTGTACTGTAATAATCAATATAGTAATTATACTTGTGTATCATTTAACCAATTCTCACAAATATTTTTGTGAATGTCCAGCTACTGTACATGTGCTACTGCTTATAATAAGGATGACAGACAAAACTGTATGCAAAAAAATTGCTCTGCAGATTTATTGTTTTAAATAGTTTTATGAATGTCCAACTGCTGTGCTACTGGTTATAAAAAGGATGAAAGAAGAAACAGTATGCAAAAAATTACTCTACAGATCATTCATTTAGAATCATTTGTGAACATAAATCAGTATTGCCATAAATATTCATCATTTGGTTTCAATTGCTTCTCTGACAACTCTACCCTTTGTGTGAAAGAGTGAGGCTACATTTTGTATGCATAACATTAATAAATACATTTTAAAAGCCTTTGTCACACACAAACACATACACACAAATCACCAACCTAAATGACTGGGAAATAGGATCCAGGTTCATTCCATTGGCCAAATTCATACCATATTCCACCAGCTCATCATAGCTGTTTAAATATGAACTTGGTACCAAGTACTTATTCACTTCTCCCTTATTGAATAATATCACTGTAACCTCCCCACTGAAGATGATGAAGGCAACTGGTTTTTCTGGTTGATCCATATTCAACATTTCCAGTTGTCTGGAGGGCAAAAAAGGCTCAGTTTAGGGTTCTTCTACATTAAACCTTATACTTTGTAACATCTTTTTTCTCATAATGTGCTTTTTTTTCAACTTTTCATATCCCACATAAAAGACATAAAACAAGTATGTTATGAATTGGCAAGCTGAGGGGGAAAAGTTTAAAGGAGGAAAAAAGATGTTACAGATTGCTACAAATACATGTATGACCCTTTCATTGTTTTTTATACTCAATATGTTAGTTGTTACTGAAAAGAAGTACATGAGGAGGAGAGATAATCCCCAGTTTTAATTTATACTACAGGTTTGTATTTTTTGCAACATTTATACTTTTAATAAAATGATTGTTGAATTAACACTAAGGCTGAGCTGGAAAATATTTGGAAACTGATAGGGTTTGCACAATAATCTATATAAAATAAACAAAATATGATTTGTACAGAACTCATAATTCACCTTTATTCTTTAACAAAAGATTTAAATTAGACCCTGCAAAGATGCTCTTAGAGGTACTAATCTTTCCTACCTTATAAAATTTGTCTTGTAAATTTCCAGTGGTCTAAATGAATTAGGCAAAACAAGCTGACTCTGAACATAACAACTCAAAGACAATTTAAGAGGATTTTACAACCTACTTTATAGTCTTTTTAAATGATTGCCATCGAATTCAAATACTCAGAAGTTCACCTTATTGCTGCAATCTTCACACATTCCAGCCTGGAGATATAGAGGGAGCCACTTGAGCCAGCATTTTTCTGCTTTAGGTTTTTCCACTCAGCTGAAATAAATAAAAAAATAAACATAAAGGTGGAGATAGAAAAATATGAAATGTCTTCTAGGTAAGTTTGGGAAATGTA